CGCCAGCAGGGGCCCGTTCTACCCGGGGACCTCCTCCTCCTCCCTTTCCCTGTCCTCTCCCGCATTCTGGGTGGATGCTTCTCCCAGCATGCCTTGCAGCTGAGTTATGGCTGGGCCCGTGGCAGCAGCAAAATATGGGGAGGAAGTAACTTCTGTCCTTCAATGACTCATAAAATCTAATTCTATTTTAAAAAAAAAGAGGTGCATATGTTCAATTGAAAAGAAAACAGTTAAAATAGATGTTTTGCTGAAGAAACTTAACTGCCTGTGCCTACTGGCAGTTGGGAAATTGCATGAATGTGCCTGGTTGACATTGTCCCTGAGAAAAAACTGCAGAAAAATTGCAGGGAACAACATTTTTTTTTTTTTGTGCCTGTACAGCAGAGTGCCCCCAGCCCAACTCTAATAATGGAAGCAACCTCCATTTAATGGTTATTATATGTTATCCACGGTGTCTTTGTGTCCTCACTTATTATGCTCACTTTAAAGATGATGAAACCAATATTTGCAACTGTTTAGTGGCTTTTTAAAGGTCTTGCAGCCRGTAATCACAGACCAGCTTCATCTAACTAAGAGCACTTATTTACCCTGTGTGCTTCCAAGGCCACTTGCCTAAGCCTGTTTGGCTAAAAATCAGGTAATCAACAATTCTCTAAAAAATCCAACTCCCTTCTGAAGTCTCTTGCACATACTTAGGTATTAACTTTGCCAGCTTCTGGCACATTAAAAAAATTTTTTCTTAAGTGCTTTATTATAGAGTCAGGTGCGGTGGCACACACCTGTAATCCCAGCAGCTCGGGAGGCTGAGGCAGGAGGATCTCGAGTTCAAAGCCAGCCTCAGCAATGGTGAGGTGCTAAGCAACTCAGTGAGACCCTGTCTCTAAATAAAATACAAAATAGGGCTGGGGATGGGGCTCAGTGGTGGAGTGCCCCTGAGTTCAATCCCCAGTACCAAAAAAGAAAAAGAAAAAAAAAATGTGCTTTATTACAGAAACTTTTGAAATAATTTAAATTCACAGAGAAAACAATCACCCACAAACCCCTCTCTAAATCAGATCAATATTTTGGTTTACACAGGCTCCCTTCTGGTCCTTTCCCGTGTGCATATCCAATCTGAACACATTTGGAATAATATATTAAATCGMGTGCAATCGACTCCATTTTTTCTATTAATACTCTCCCATGTCCGTTCCGGCAAGACCTTTCTCAATCCCACATAAGGACATTTCTGACGTAACACTGTTCTTCTAAGCAACTTTTTAAATCACTCAATTCACATCATTTTAAGAATGGCAAAAAAAAAAAAAAAAAAATCCGCTTCGTGCATTGCTGGATGTCTCGCTTTTATCTATTTTAATCTTCAGAATTCTAAGTCTCCGGCGAAAATTAAAAAAAAAAAAAAAAAACATATCAAACTTGCAGCATGTCTACTAGATTTGTCATTCTCTTAGAGGTAGCTGATTCATATAGGAATTCTGGGTCACAGAATACAAAATGACAATCGCTCTGGCTACACCGGCCTTGGCTCATGCTCTTCAAACGCACAGAGCCTGCTCCTGCCTYGGGCCTTCACACTCACGCCTCCTGCTGCTGGGACTGTTCTGCCCCCAGAGAGCCTCCCCGTGCCTGGCTGTGGTCTCGGCTCAAATGCCATCTCTAACAGCGAGGCCTTCCTTGATGATCCTATCAAAACTAGCACCTGGCCAGCCCAGCCCAGCCACCKCTGTCCCCTTGACTTCGTGTTGCTGCGGTGGTTTCTCTGTCTCCCCCACTAGAAGGTAAATTCCAAGGGAACAGGGACTTTATCTCTGTTGTCCCCCGTCGTGCCCCTGATGGTGATACAGCTGGGGCCTGACATATTTAGTTCAACAAATAAACATGCATTGAAATAATAAATCAGCATCAGCTCTGCAGCAGGTGGGCCACAGGGCCACGTTCGTGGGCCTTCCTGTTTCCTGGGAGCCACAGGAACAATGTGTATGCAGCCACCCCACCCCACCCCCCCAGCTCAAAATCACTCCCAGGGAGAAAACTCTCACCCGATTCTTGCAATATCCCAGTAGGATGTGGGAGCAGGGAGTGACAGCTTCCTAAGGRCCATTAGGAAGGTGGCTCAAGTTCTGGGCTCCCACTTATCAACACTAAAAGCTGAGCCACTTTGGTTRGTTTTCCTTTGGACAGAAATGTGGWCGGTCACTCAGAAYGTCCTTGCAAAGATCAGATGTGATCGTGAAAGTGGAAAGATTTTGTGAGACCGCAGAGGGCAGATACCTCACAGGAAGGACARCAGAGGCTTCCGGGATTGGATCCTGGAGTCTTGCTGCACCACTGACTGACTGTTGGACAGTGCCTAAGTGACTTAATTTCTCTGACTGTCAGCATTCCTATCTGTGAGTCGGGGTTAGTAAGGGGACCTCTCCAACAGAGACGCTGGGAGAGAGAAATGTGATCCTACACAGAGGTTCAGCATGGCGTGCCACACACACTGGAGAGCTCACATCGCTGTTGGCTGCTGCTTTGGGTCTGGTTTGTAGCACTGTCACTATTAAGCATTGTCACCTGGCGGTGATGCAACCTGCTATGCTCACCGAAGCAAAGCATGGGTGCTGCGTACAATGGGCTGGTGAGCCAGGGCTGGTGAGCCAGGGCTGGGCACCCCTGAGCCTTTTATATGCAAAACTGGATCCTGGTTAATCCCTTCCACTTCAAGATTCCCGGGTGGCTGGAAGGAAGCATTTTTTTTTTTTTTTTTAAGATCTACACATGATAGATGCTCAACACGGAAAGTCAGTTCTACTCTGGAGATGGAAAAACCAAGGTGCAGAGGCACAGTKCGACTTCACTGAGCAGGGGAGAGGCAAGCAAGTCTCGGTTAGAGCTCAGGGTGGGGCCCGGAGGCAAGCAGTCTGTAGGGGAAGCCACCCCAGGTGTGTCAGGTACAGTAGGAGCCGGGTGACCTACACTTACACGACTTCATCGTGTGACAGTTTAGAGCAAGGCCCCTTAGGCCAGACTGCCTGGGTTCAAATCGCACCCCTGCCCCCCGACATGAACTACTTACTACCTGCGTGACCTCAGGACCTTGTTCTAYGAAATGCAGAGGATAACAGAATCCATCTGAGAGCTGACGTGTGGCTCAGCCCTGTGCCTCACATATAGAGCAGGCACTATGATAAGTCCTTGAAAATGAAAGTAATGTATGCAGAATTAAAATACACATGCTCAGCCAAAAAAAAAAAAAGAAGTGAGAAAAAATAATTTAATTTGGGGTGTTTCACTCCGTSAGCATATGTGCAGAATTCAGGTGAGGTGGACGTGGAGAGGGTACCCGTCCTTCCCTCAGCCAGGCTCCCGMAGCTCCTGGGGCTACTTGCTACTGGCCATTGGTGACATTCCTTGAGAAGGAGTCCGGGCCCACACAATTCCCATGAAAACCCAGGCCTACCTCGTCAACACCAAAAAGCAACACCAGGCTCAAAGAAAGACCTTCGGGACACTCTCTGTGACCGTTTTCCAATAGTCAGTTACAAAGGAAGAGGCTATGTTCGAGGGGACATTAGTCCCCAATGACTGATTCCTTCCCCTCTYGGCCCAGCCAAGGGAAATCCAAAGCCGCATCTCCAAGTACTCTTGGCCTCTCCTCTGAGAAGRTCTCCTTCTTACCCCATTTACCGGGTCGGGACTGTCCGTCATCTGCTGATTGATGTCCAAGTCAATTTGGGGACCACCCACGGAAAAGAGACGGAGCAGGGAGAGAGTCCCGAGGTTTGCATCCTAGGGGCTCTAGTCCTGCTGATTACCACCTGGACATCTGCAGGCCTTCTTTCTCCAAGGTAAAGCTGGGGATGTGGACTAGAGCCAGGTGACCTTTCTCCCTTGGTATTTGACAAGACATTCACTGAAGGTTTTTGCTTACAGGGACTCCCCCCGCTTCTTTTACTCAAAAAAATTGATTTTAGAAGCAAACTTTCGTACCCCCTTGGAGCACAATAGTGAACCAGTTCCTTATCTTGAAAACTGTTCAACCAAGGGAAAGGATGAAGCACCAGCCCTTCCTGGGTGAACAGGGCCTCCCGGAAATCAGCGAGGGGGAGCCTCTCTTTGTAAAAAGCATTCCAATTAGTCAATAAAAGAAAGGGTAGAATCAGGGGATCCCCACCTTGCAGACCYGATGAGTGAATGGACCTGGGTACTGAGGGCCAACGGCTGGCCGGCCGAGTCACTAGCCCCAGCTGCCTCTCTGCAGGAAACTCAAAGCACAGACCAAGCACGCAAAGGTGTTTCAAGAGGAAAACCCAGATGGTGAAATGCTACCTCTGAAACAGCAGGACCTTCCGCAGATCAAAGAATAGAAGGGTTTGGGGGGAATCACTAGGTGAGAGGTTTAAATTAGAGGCACGACGCATCCCGTCTCACAGGGCGCGAGGGCTCTGAAATCAGCAGAGGTGGAGAACGGGAGAGAGTCGGAATTCATCTTGAAGGACCCTTAGAGCATCTTTGGGTCACAGGCCACTGGCCTTGAGAAGCCGTGGCTGTAAGGATGAACTTCCCATTCCTTCGCACCGGGGCTCTGGGCGCTTCTTTCTTGGCCGAGAGACCACAGTCGAATGGGAACCGAGACCGGGCGAGGATCTGGGGTGGGGTTGGAATGGCAGGGCCTGGCGGGGACTGTGGGGACGTCTCCRTGACTCGGCAGCCATGGCTGTGATCTCATGGCCTGTGCCTGGGACACTGTGTCCAGTCCCCATTGTCCTCTCTGCTTTGTGGTCTCAGGCAAGCCCCCCACCATGCAAAGGTCCCAGGCAACCCTCTGAGATGCTCTTGTGCATGYATCCAGAAAGGTCTGGAGGGCCCAAGGCCACATCTAGAGGTGTGTGTGGACCTTGTCCCCTGTCCTCGAGTCACCCCTTGCTGTTAGGAAAAGGCCCTGCTCTGTCGATTATAAAACCAATTGCCTGCGTGCCTTCATCTGACCTGGACAGGGCCCCAGGACAAGTTACCATGGTCTGGAAGCAGGAGTGGAGCTGGGTCAGGAAGGGCGGCTTCCCGGGCAGGGCCAGCACCCGCTTCTCCACCATGGTGCACTCCACGTCGTCGTCTTGGATCACCACGTCCTTCTTGAGGATCTTCACTGCATACAGCTCGTCTGTGCCCTTCCGCTCCGAAAGCATGACCTGCGGGGAGAGCCAGCACATCAGGGAGGTGAGAAGGGACCCCGCGACACCTGGGGGCGGCTGGYGTCCATCCACATCCCCTCCCAGCTTTCCCCGGGGGCTCTCTGTGGACGAGAGTCGGTGGGTGACCTTCCCCACCCACCTCAATGGCTGGACCAAACCCACAAGGATGGTTCCAGGAGCCACGAGATCTGAATCAGKGACCAGCCAACACCAACAGRGGAAGAGCCCAAGAGCCCACGACGGTACCTGGCACATAGTAGCTGTTCAATAAATACTTATTGAATGAGAGAATGAGTGGATGCCCGATAAAACTGAATTCGGGACACTTGTCCCCTTATTGATCCAATGGCACCACRTTCTTTAGGAGCCTGCTAAGCGCTGGGGAGGTAGCAAGAAACAAGCTGCCATGTTCCCTGATCCTGAGCCCCAGATAGGAAGGAACTCTTTGAACCACGAATCACAGGGATGGTCAAGGTGATATCTCCCAGCCTTTCCTGTTGTCTTGGGGCTGCCTTCTACGMACCGTGGTCACCATGAGGGCTGTGGCTCATAGACACGGATAGTTTTCATTGGCTGTGTCCATGCCCAYGGGGACAATGAGCAGCAGGTGGTGTTCTCGAGAGGCTACTTTGGAAGCTCAGGGCAGGACCCTGTTTCGGAGGGAACTGATCTGGTCTGGGAGCTTCTGGGAAGGCTTCCTGGAGGAAGGAACAATCCAGTCGAAGTATTTCCAACATGCCCCGCGACAGATATTCAGCGTGCGATATTCATCCCGGCCGCGACTTTGGGCTTTATCAATACCCGAGACAACGACTGGGTTTCATTTGTCATGTGTCATCTGCTCTGCCTAAGGCTCTAGGAAGTCGGAGCCGTTAGGAATGAGTCTCATTTTACAGGACTCTGAGGCATCGTCGAGCAGGTCACCTGCCGCACCACGATTCAGTGAGGCACAGGGCCAGGATCTGAACCCAGGACTGTCCGACTGTGTTTCCTGAGATGCAAAAAAGAGCCCCCGGGAGCTCRGGAGGTTAAGGAAAGACAGTGCTCATGCCTGAGCTGGAGGACCCCAGGAGGCGACAGGGACCTGGGGCCAGAGAGAGAGAGATTCGCAGAAGGAGAGGAGAGGAAAGGGCAGCCGCTCTGCCCAGACCGGCCACCGCACTCTGCTGCCGTCCCGAAGGTGAACTCAGAGCTCCTGTGCCCAGAGCTCGGTCTCAGCCTCTGTCTCAGCCTCTGTCTCAGCCTCTGTCTCAGCCTCTGTCTGTCTCCCCAGCAGCCCGAGAAAATGTAAACTCTGCCCATCTGACGGGCGTCGGCTGCCGGGCCTCCACTCCATCCTCAGGACAGACCCACGGGCTCCCGGGACCAGGCAGGGAGCACAGTGTCGGATTGTGATTTCCGTCTCCTCCCTTCTCTCCCTGGTACCCAAGGGCCRTTGTCACCAAAGCAGGAACAACAGGAGGAAGCCACCGACCTGAGATGTAAAGAATCCGATGCGGATGGAGGATTTTCTGCTGCCTGATAGCAAAGAAGACGGGGGCTGTCCCACGGGCAGGGAGGAGGCAGGGGGTGACTTGGCCAGAATKCGAATGAGCCCAGGGAGAGACACTGGAGATGGGGGTGAAGACCCTTTTGTTGAGGGGGACCYTGGAGGACCCTGGTCGGGGGCTCGGGGCTCGGTGCTGAGCTGACTCAGTGCAGATATCCCCCGTGACCCACCACCACCCTGAACCCCCTGCTCCTCCACCAGGCTCAGAGGAGAGGGTCCTGGGGACCGTGCAGTCACGACAGACCATCGTCACCTCCTGCATGGAAGGGAGATGGGACAGAACGGCTGAGAATGTCCCCCTGCCCCCGGGGACCAGGGGAGACTTTCTACTTGTGTTTCCAACATGCCCATTCTGCAGGCAAACAGACGGGGTCTCCGGGAGATCTGAGCCACTTCAGCCCACATCAGAACCCAGACTGGGCCGTGCTCAGCGTCCTCCGGGCTCCCCCAGGCCAAACCACGCCTGGACCACGGCCTGTTCTTGGCTTTTCTTTGGACATTCATTTCCCACGGCCTGCCACACCTCCTCTATGCTCTTCCTCTTGACTAGAAAAATCCGAGATTCATCTTCCTCCTTCCATAACCTTGATGATCCGCGGAGACCCAATCAGCCACTCCCACCCCAGGCCTCGGGATGGCTTCCTGTCTGTGTGGCTGATCTTAGCACAGACTTTTTCCCAGCATCAATCATTCCTGAGCTTTTTTTTTTTTTTTTTTTGTAACATTTTCTCCATCCCCTAAACTATTGCTTAGCCTTAAAAAAATATCCACCTGCATGCGTGGCCCATGCTGGACACTTCATTCACGTTGACACAGGAGGGGAACAATGCCGATGACCACATCTTCAAATGTTCCTCAGAGTGGAAATCGTCTTTTATTAATCGTCTCCCACGGTCTTTCGAGAGCTCCCAGAAACTGGAATACCAACCCCGAGGGCGTGGGCTGGCTGCTCAGCTGTCCCACCATCTCCAGGGCCAGGGTTCCAAACAGACTGGGAGGATGTGTTGAMGCCGATGTTCTTATCAAACTCCCAGCCACATCTGTTCCCCAAGAGCCTTCSGGGGAGAGACGTGATAAATACCAGAACTCGAGCCGCAGCAGATAAAACAGAGGAGAAGTAGCCCAGGGGGTCCTGGCTGGAAAGAAGTTGGTCGTGATGAACTTGGCCAAGGAAGGTCACATTCATGGAGATCAATGGTCAGGACTTGAACATGCATCTTATTTTTGGAGTGGGGGGGGGGACACAATTCTACTCCACCCACAGTGATCAACCTCAGTATCATCTTTCCAGAGAAGGAGCAAGAGGTGACCCTCGAACAAAGCACAAATGTCCAGTTTTCAACTGGCCGAGGACTTTTGTCCTAAAGGAGCTGGGGGGTCCCTATTTGCTCACTAAAGTAACCAGGCAGAGACCGTGAAGGGCAAAYGCTCTGCTCCCCACATCACCCCAACATTCACAGACACTCCATCAAAAAGTCCCAGGTCCTGCTGAGTTACTCTCAATGCCTCTCTTACACTTCTCTGCTAACGCATTAGGTGTTACTAGCTCTATATTCGAAATATATATATATGCCCAATCCAAACTCCCAGCTAATCAGAGCCACAAGGATCCTCAGCCTGGTTCCCTGCAACTGCCTCTAATTGCTTCTCGGCAGCCACTGTTTCTGCTCCCAGCCTGCGTGATCCTTCTACCCTGCACACAGAGTAGAAGGATGCTGCTTTCAAAACTCCAATGATTTTACTTCCTGCAGCTTTAGGAGTCTTGTCGAGGAAGTCTGTTTCTAAGCTGACATGATGGAGACTTGGGCTTACATTTTCTTCTAGTAGGCRCAGGGTCTCTGATCTAATGCCTAGGTCCTTGATCCACTTCGAGTTGAGTTTTGTGCAGGGTGAGGGGGAGGGGGTGTTCAATTTCATTCTGCTCCATATGCATTTCTAGTTCTCCCAGCACCATCTGTTGAAGAGGCTATCTTTCCTCCGATGTAATCAAGAATCAATAAATGGGATGATATCAAACTAAAAAAGCTTCTTCCCCGCAAAGGAAACAATCAAGAGTGTGAAGAGAGAGCCTTCAGAATGGGAGAAAATCGTTGCCACCTGCATCTCAGATAAGGCATGAATCTCCAGGATATAAAAAGAACTCAAGAAACTTACCACCACAAAAAAACCAAATAACCCAATCAATGTGTGGGCAAAGGAACTGAACAGACACTTCACGGAAGAAGAAATATGAACGGTCMACAAATATATGAGAAAATGTTCAACATCTCTAGCAACTTGAGAAATGCAAACTAAAACTACTCTAAGATTTCATCTCACTTCAATCAAGAAGGGCAATGATCAAGGACACAAGTAACAATAAATGTTGGCGAGGATATAGGGGGAAAGGTTCACTCATATGTTGCTGGTGGGAACTGCAAATTGGCACAACCACTATGGAAAGCAGTATGGAGATTCCCCAGTAAACTTGGAATGGAACCACCATTTGACCCAGCTATCCCACTCCTTGGCATATACCCAGAGGATTTAAAAATCAGCATACCACACTGATACAGCCACATCAATGTTTATAGCAGCTCAATTCACAATAGCTAAACTATGGAACCAAACTAGGTGCCCTTCTGCAGATAAACGGAGAGAGAAAATGGAATGGAATATTACTCAGCCATAAAAAATGACTTTATGACCTTTGCCAGTAAATGGATGGAACTGGAGACTACCATGTGAAATCAGCCAATCCCCAAAAAATCAAAGTTCCAGTGTTCCCCTTGATGTGGGGATGCTAACTCACAACAAGGCGGAAGGGAAGAATAGAAGGTCAGTGGATTAGACAAAGGGGAACGAAGGGAATGGGGGTGGGGGGGTGATGGGACTAGGAAAGACAGTGGAATGAATCTGCCTTAACTTTTCTATGTTCATATATAAATACACCCCCAGTGTCACTCCACATGAGGTACAATCACAAGACTGGGGTCCTGATTAGAATAAGAGGTACCCCATGTTAGCAGAAATATGTCAAAATATACTCTACTGTCGTGTATAACTAAAAAGAACATTTTTTCTAAAAACTCCAATGAGTTCATGTCACCCCACCTTCCGAGGACCTTCACCTGTCTTCCTACCGCCCTTAGGACAGAATTCCGTCACTCAGCGTCCTTGCCCCCAGTCCTGACTGAAGGACTCTTTGTCCACATCATTGGGAAGAGGCTCCGCCCACAGGGGATAGGCAGGCTCAGTAGCAGGCAGGACTCTCCTGGGGAGTCGACAGAAAACCTACCAACTTCTAAAAACGGCACGGGGGAGAAAAGGAAGGTGAGCTTTGGTTTTCAGACACTCCCCGACTCATCGTGGCCGACCTGCAGATGGGCCAGAGCCCTCCTGCAGACTGGGTCAAGGATGAGGAGCTTCTGGGCTGCAGTAACCTGCCCTCGATGACCAGAGACCTGGG